GGATAGAAATTAGGAGACTTCTCTTTTTCTCAAGAGGGTTGTAAGCTTTGGAAATCTTTCCCAAAAAATGGTGGAAGCAGAGTCTGAATATTTTTAAGGCAGATCTTTTATAAGCAGGGGGATGAAGAGTGATCAGGCTTAGGCAGGAACATGGAGTAATCAGTCCAGCCATGATGTTAAGTAACATTGGGCAACCAGGCTTGAAGGGCTGAGTGGCCTGTTTCTCCTCGAATTTGTATGTTTATATATACAGTCCATTGATTGCTTGAGTGGTATAATTGGGAGAAGATTGATAAGTTGTTAGATTATGCCTGATGTGGGAAAACCAAAAGCAAAGGGGAAATATATATTGGTTAAGAAACTAAAGGGCAAGAACATTTCATGTGGAAAGTAATGTTTCTGTTGACATATTTTTGCCTCTATCCCCTGAGTATTTGCGTAGTATGTAGCACCTGGAGCTATGGAGCAGAAGGTTTGTTTTGTTGATAGGGAGAGCATGAAACTTGCTCTTGCTGTTTCTGGAATATATAAATATAATGGAAAGAAACCTTTTGTCGCTCAGTGTACAATTGAATTGTAGCAAATGATCCATGTGCATGATTCTTTATGGAATAAGTCCCATTGAAATATTTATGTACAGAGAAAAGAATGTGAATCAGTGGGCAATGTGTTCCATGCTGTTCATACTATTCCTAACTATCATCGTGAAAAACTACAGTGGCAAAATAAATAACTCAGTCACCATAAAAATAATTCATATCTTGCCCCATCACTCACTTTTCCTAACTTGGAAATATATTGCCATTCCTTCAGTGTCATTAGGTCCTGAAATTCCTTCCCTAATGGCATTGTGTTTAGGCATGGACTGCAGCAGTTCAAGAAGGCAGTTCATCACCACTTTCTCAAGGATAACTACGGATGGGCAATAAATAACGAAAACAGCAATTGCTGGTGAAACTCAGCAGGTCTGGCAGCATTTGCGGAAACTCAGCAGAGTTAACATTTTGAGTTTGGTGACTCTTCATGTGGACGTGGTGCAATGGCTCAGTGGTTAGCTCTGCTATCTCACAGGGATCCAGGTTCGATTCCACCCTTAGGCAAATGCCTGTATGGAGATTGCATATTCTCCTTGTGTTTGCGTCAGTTTCCAGTAGATGCTCCAGTTCCAAAGATGTGCAGGTTGGTTAAATTGACCATGCTAAATTGCCCTGTACTGTCCAGTGTTCTGCAGGCGAGGTGGATTAGCCATGGTAAGGGGGGAGGGTGGTTGGTCCTTGCGGGCATGCAATTCAGAGGTTCGGTGCAGACCATGATGAGCTGAATGGCCTCCATTTGCACTGTAGGGATTCTATGATTCAGATCGGAGCATTTGGTATAACAAGGACTTGCTCTGAAAGAAAGAGAATCTGCATGGTTTCCATTCACTGGTCCAGCAATTGTTTCTTTAGTCCCAGCAACGGCAGAGACTTGTTAGGTCAAATTCTAAACAACTTTAGTTTACAGAACTGATTCCCCAGTTTGATACTTGCAATACCTACCAGTGACCAGAAGCTGAACTATACTAGGCAATACTGTGGCTACAAGAGCAGGTGAGAGACTGTGTACTCTGTTGCAAATGACTTACATCCTGATTCCACAAACCCAATCCACCATTTGCAGGTCTCAAGTCAGGAGTATGCTGGACTATTTCCCACAGGCCTGAATGAGTTCACTTCCAGAGATATTCCAGTAGCTCAACACCATCCAGGGAAAAGCAGCCCACTTAACTGATCACACATCCACCACCTTGATCATTCGTTCTCTTCCCCACTAATGCACAATGGCAGCAGTGTGCTTTATCTACAAGATGCACTGCATCAACTCACCCAGGCTCGTTTGACAGCACCTTCCATACCTGTGACCTCTATCACATGGAAGAACAAGTGAAAGCAGACAAACAGAAACACCACCAACTCCAAGTTTCCTTTCCAAGCCACACATCAGTTGGAGCTGAAAATCTATTGCTGCCATTCTTTTATCATCTCTGGCTTAAAATCCTAGAATCGCCAATCTTCAGCAATACCTTCACTGGAGGACAGCAATGGTTCAAAAAGGCCACTTGTTGCCACCTCATCACGGCTGCTAAAGATGGACAAGAAATATTCTTCATGCCAGCAAAACGCAAAGACAGTAAATGATTTTAAAATCCTGACCATCCTGAGAGTACCATGGTTACTCAAAATGAGCTGAGAATTTTTTTGTTTAAATGAAATTAAGAACTTTTTAAATATGAAATAGTTGAATTTGGAGAGGAATCCAGCTGGTTTCATGACGAAATGGATTCGACTTGTTCTTAGCAATGACACACAGAAGAATCAGGTATAAATTGAAAGAACTGTGGATGGTGTAAATCAGAAACAGAAATAGAGATTACTGGTAAAGTTCAGCAGGTCTGGCAGCATCTGTGGAGAGAAATCAGAGTTAATGCTTTGGGTCACTGGACAGAGACAGATATTTGTCTCCACAGATGCTGCCAGACCTGCTGAGATTTTCCAGTAATTTCCATAATATTTTTGTTTCAGAAGGATGAGGTTTTGGGTTTTAATTCCTTTCCTGAGATGAGGACATGATACTTCAATGAAGTATTGAGGAAGATAGCGATGTGCGTATTGTCAGCGGTCCAGTCTTTCAAGTGTCAAGTCACTGTTGAGTTCAGCTGCATCCCAGCTACTTAAACGAGTACAGGGCGTTGCTCCTGTAGTCTGGCACTTTGTAGCTGAATAAAAACAGAAAGAACTGCGGACGCTGTAAATCCGGAACAACAACAGAAGTTGCTGGAAAAGCTCAGCAGGTCTGGCAGCATCAGTGAGGAAAACAAAATCAGAGTTAACGTTTCGGGTCCGGTGACCCTTCCTCAGAACTGGTCCAGTAGCTGGATCTCCATGTTTTGCATTCTGTTCTATTACCCTGATGCACTTGTGTAAAGTATGGTTTGTCGGGTCAGCACGTAATCCAATACTGTGACAACAATAAATCAAATTAAAATCAAACCAGTACCACTGCAAAGCACACGCATTAGTGAGCCTGAGACTGTTATTTGGGAAATTCCGCTGGTGTTGGGACCACGGTTTCTGTATTTCACAGTCATTTGTTTGAAAGGTTTGTGACATGTGTGACAAACTCCTGTAAAAACAACATTCCCTGTTCATCGAAGCAAAGATCTACCAGCCCCGCACCGCAATCTGGGCTAACAAGGCGAACAGAAAACAATCTATAGATGTATTTAGCATTGTTGGCAGGATTCGTTAAAACGATGGTACGGGGGTGCACAGGCAGTGTTTCGTTGCAGAGCATTTTATTTCGCCTTTCTCTCCTCTAAGATTCTTACGGGATATTTGATAAGCGGGTTCCATTAGCTGCTTTATAATTCAGAGCGGAGCTCCCCTCGGGGGAGATGGCTCGGAATCTCACTCTCCTTGTTAGGTAAGTGATCTCGTGGTTGTACGGTTAGCGCGGACTCGCAATATAAGCACTGGCTATACGTTTGCTCGGCAGATACTGGTACTCAGCAGCTCTGGTGCTCAGCGCCGCTCACTCTCCACGTTGCTCAGGGTAAGCTGCTGGGAATTGTATCACCGGAGAAGGGAGAGGGAGGAGAGGGGTTTACTTAAAGAGAAAAGAGTTATTGTAAGAATCTTAGAGGAGAGAAAAGCGAAATAAAATGCTCTGCAACGAATCAAGTGATGTGAAGGGAAAAATTCTTATTTCGCTCAGCGAGTTAGGGCAGGATTGGCAGGACCGGACTGGATAATAGGACGGGTCTGGGTAACAGGACGGGTCTGGATAATAGGACGGGTCTGGATAATAGGACCGGACTGGAGATTAGGACCGGATTGGAGATTGGGACCGGATTGGAGATTAGGACCGGACACGATAATAGGACAGGACTGGATAAAGGTGCCCAATGAGTTATTCGAGCCGGGTTAGGTCCGGATTAGATAACAGGGCAGGATTAGGTAATAGAACTGGACTGGATGGATAGTAGTCCCGGTGCAGTGACGATGGCCCGAATAGCCTCCTTCTACGCTTGAATAATTCTGTGATTCTGTGATAATAACGAGGAGCTTTGGGAGCACAGCTCCTGTCGCTACTGAAAGATGCTCCATTTGTGCAATGGTCGGTACATTTTGAATACAACCAGGAGGCTGTTACTAAACGGGGAGAGCATCAGTGCATTTGGGGAGGTTCGGGGGTTCAATCATTGGAGTGGACTGGGACACGAGGAACTCTGCTTTGGACAGACTGGGGAGAGAGCGGGAGAGAGAGAGAGATTGACTCCGTTCTGTAGTTGTTTAGACCGTGCTCCTTTGAAGCGGCTACAGCAGGTTCCTGAATGAAGAGAGACGGACCCAGTCAGGTTGCTGTTTGGTGCCAGCTCGCTGAATGGAATAGAGCTGATTTGTACAGGGGGAGGCCCGAGCTGTACCCGAGCTGAGTGGAGTTCACTCCGGACCCGGTTTGTGTTTTCACAAGCTGTCCAAGAGAGTAAAAGGCCTTTTCACTGAAAAGAAGTTTACCTTTTGGCAGGGATTTTCTTTGGGATGCGATGAATAAAAGCACAGTGTGAGGGAACTTCCTTTGTGGTCAACACATCAAGCCATTGTGGAAGTCAGCTCGGGAGTGTGCCGGGAATGGGAATGCTCTCTATTTGTCTGCACCTCTCTCGGTATGAGATGGCTGGTAGTGATGCTTTAACCTGAGGGTCACCACATCACAGGTGAAGGCTGAGGTTGTGAAGGTGAGTCCTTCATGGTAACTTCAGCCACAGTGGGAATTGAACCTATGCTGTTGGTATCACTCTATCCTGGATCCAGCCAACTGACTGAGCTAACATGCTCGATCGAGAATTTGCAGATAAAACTATTGCCTCCATAAAATGAAAGGAACGGACCTGTGTTTTTGTGAGTCAGTCAATATATGAGTGTATATGGCTCAGAAATCTCTTTTGTGTTTCAGATTCCTCTCAAGCTGCTACCATGCGGGGGCTGTTACTGTCGCTGATGATCACGTCCATTTGTTTAACCAAAAGAGTTCAAGCAATCAAATGGGGTAGATGTGAACATGTGGAACTGCAAAAGAATTTTAGTCTCAATCAGGTTTGTCCTGTTAACTCTTTAGTTGCCTGGCAATTCCATTTTGTGTAAAGAAGTAATTTTTGCAGATGCTACAGGATCAATAAACTACGCTTTCGAAAAGGGATTGGACAGTGCAGTGGATTTTCACACCATCTGCTCAACTTTAGCCACAGAGATCGTAAGCAAAATCTGTTTATGTTCTAACGTCCCAACTCATACAGTTTCTCATTCGGCACAAACAGGACTTAAAGTACGTTAGTATTGGTCCTCCAACGCATACTTCTTGGAGCGTAGTCGCTTATTGTGAGGGAAGTTGTCACTGAATCCAGTAATAATTAAAGCAAGAAATTCTGGAAATACTCAGCAGGTTAAGTAGCATCTGTGAAGAAAAACAGAGTAAACCCCTCAGGTCAATGTTGATCCTTCTGAAATTTCTAATGAAGTATTAACATTGATCCAAAATATTACCTCTTTGCCTCAACTGGTACTTTCTAATAATTACATTTAATCTATGTCTGTGGTGATTTAGTTACTGAAAGTTTTGCTGCTAATTTATTAATTTATTTCAGTGTAATGTCCACTGAGGTAAATAGCCCCAACACAGGAAATACATTCATTCATGCAAATCATTTTAATGGATACAATTCTGCTAAACAAACATGTTTTTAAAAATTGTAACTTTGAAGTGAACCTTTTCAATATACACCAGCATTTTAGTGGGAATGTTGCTCATAGTTAAGTGGCAATGGTTCTAATATAGGGTTAGCTACAAGATCACAAGAGTAAGGGAAATTCCTTTCTTTGCTTTGGTAAATATTGAACAATTTGGATTATAATTTAAGGATTTAACTTAGAAACACCTTTCCAAACATTTGGAAACTGGTATTAATATTCAGTGGTGTCTTATGGGTTCCAGCAGTACGCATGGTTTAATACTGAAACTGCATAAAGTGTTGGTTCAGCGACAGGTAGAGTAGTTGTGTGCAGTTCTGGAATCCACATTGTAGGAGGGATATGATTGCAATGGAGAAGGTGCAGAGAAGATATACCAGGATGTTGCCTACACCTTGTTGCATTTGGACGTGGACTGTTTCAATATCTCAGAAGTCACGAATAGTGCTGAACATTTCACAGTCATAGGCAAACATCCACACTTCTGACCTTATGATTCATTCAGGGAGAGCTACTTGGGGGTTTTTATTTGTGGAGAGTTTATTTGTTGTGTGTTTTATTCAGGGAATTATTTTATAGGGTATTGATTGAATTATTTTATTTATAGAACATTATTGTTGGGGTTTTATTTAGAAAGACTTAGTTGTGGGGATTTTAATTTTGGGGAATTTATTTTTGTGGGTGTAATACAGTACTGAACACAATTCAGCCTCCTCTTCAGTCTCTCCTTGGACTTGGAGAACAAGGAGAACTGCAGGGACAGGCTATCTGGACAGAGAGTGGGTCACCTGGGATGGGCCACCAGGATAAAGAACTGGTATCAGCTGAGGCCTAGGAGGGGGTGACACCAGATGAGGTCATACCTAGTCTTGAATTATTTCCGTTGATGCATACGAACAAGAAAGTAGGACTGCATGCCCAAGGAAGGGATGTCAGGGCAATATATTGTGTGTGTGTGTGTGTGTGTGTGTGTGTGTGTGTGTGTGTGTGTGTCTAGTGTGTGTGTGTGTGTGTGTGTGTGTGTGTGTGTGTGTGTGTGTGTGTGTGTGTGTGTGTGTGTGTGTGTGTGTGTGTGTGTGTGTGTGTGTGTGTGTGTGTGTGTGTGTGTGTGTGTGTGTGTGTGTGTGTGTGTTAATCATCTCGGTTTATCCGTCTCGTTGGACAAAGACTTTACTCTCCCAAGTCCCTGTGTTAATCAGTCAGCGTGCAACTATGATCAGTTGGGGTTCCTGTGTCCCAAAAAGAGACAGGTGATTCTCCAAGGTGATTTCAATGTCAGAGTTGGGACAGCTACAAACCTCTGGAAAGGCCGATCCTCCTAACAAGATGCCTGGAACAGGGCCTGGTCATAATGAACGTCCTATTTCATCAGAGAGACAAACACATGGCACCTCATGGCAATACCTGCAGTCCAGACACTGGCAACTGCCTGACTACATCATTGTCCAAGTGAGGGATCACAAGGGTGTCCACATCAACCACAGTATGAATGCTGGAGCAACCATCAGTAAATCTGGGCTAGCATCTTCATAAGCCTGGTCCCAAAACAACATAGGCAGCAGGGCACTGCCTTAGGAAATTCAATGTCAATGGATAATGTCGATGTCAATGGAATAGGCGATATTTTTCCAAATAGCAGCCAGTGACTAATGTGATACCACAGGGATCAGTGCTTGGACTAACAATTTAGATGTGTGAACTAAATGTAATATTTTCAAGTTGGCAGATAACACAAAGCTGGATGGGAGGATGAAATGTAAGGAGGATGCAGAGATGCTCCAGTGTGATTTGGACAAGTTGAGTGAGTGGACAAATGAATGGCAGATGAAGTACAGTGTGGATAAACATAAGTAAAAACAGGAAGGCAGGTTATTATCTGAATGATAGATTGGGAAAGAGGGAGATGTAATTAGGCCTGAACATCCTTGTACACCAGTTGCTCATGAAGAAGGCCCTCATAGCAAGAGGATTCGAGTACAGAAGTAGGGATGTCTTGCTGCAGTTGTACAGGGTCTTGGTAAGACTGCTCCTGGAGTATTGTGGGCAGTTTTGGTCTCCTTATATGAGGAAGGATGCCTTGGCTATGGAGGGACTGCAATAAAAGTTTACTAGACCGATTCCTAGGATGGCAGGACTGATATATAAAGACACACCGGATCGGTTAGGAATATATTGAAGGGAGTTAGACCATTGAGGGGGAATCTCATAGAAATGTATAAAATTCCAACAGGATTAGATAGGTTAAATGCAGGAAAGATGTTCCTGATAACCGGGGAGTCCAAAACCAGGGGTTACAGTCTCAGGATACAGAGTTTGTCATGTAGGACTGAGATGAGGTGAAGTTTCTTCATCAAGAGAGTGGAATTCTCTGCCACAGAAAAATGCTGAGGCCAAAACATTGAATGTTTTCAAGAAGTAGTTCTTAAGGCTAAAGGAATCAACAGGTATGGGGGGGAACAGGGATGATGAGCCATGAGCACATTGAAAGGCAGAGTCGGCTCGAAGGGCTGAATGGCCTACTCCTGCTCCTATTTTCTATGTTTCTATGCAGGTTCACTGGACTTGTTCCTAGGATGGTGGAATTGTACAATGAAGAGAGATTGGGGAAACAGGGTCTGTTTTCTCAAGAGTTACAGAGAATGCGAGGCGATCTTATTAAAACCTGCAAAATACTAAAGGGGATAGTGTAAGTCGGGGAGATGTCGGCAAGAAGTCTCTCCAAATATGTATGTTGGAGGGGGATGGGTATGGGAATTTAGAACCAGAGGAAAAGGTTTCAAATTAAGGGGGACCAAACTGAGGAGAAATATTTTTATCTTGAGGGTTGTGAATCATCGGAATTCTCTGTCCAAGAAGGCTGATGAAGCTCAGTCTTTGACAACGTTTAAAGTAAAGACTGCTAGATTGCTAAATGTTTACAGGGTCTTGGGGATGGTAGGGGAAAACATTTATTGAAAGTATTTGATCAGCCATTATTGTGTTGAATGAAGGAGCAGATTCAATGTGTTGAATGGTCAACTCCTACTTCTATTTTGGAAGATATTGTTTGAAATACAGTTATTTTTAAAATAAAAGAATGGACTAAACCTCTTTTTTATCATTCTCTGTTGATAAAACAAACGTGATGCTAACGCAAAGGCAGCTACAAATTTGCACCACTTCCAAGAAATGCCTCAATATTCATTCATAAGAGCCATAGAGGTCTACAGCACAGGAAAGGGCCCTTCAGCCCATCGGGTCTGTGCCAGTCAAAGCCAAATAACTATCTATTCTAATGAGGTGAGAATGACAGCCCTTGACACCAAGGCCGCATCGGAGCAAGGATCCCTAGCAAGGAGCCCTAGCAAAACTGGAAGTTCATGGGAATCAGGGGGATAACTCTCCACTGGTTGGAGTCATACCTGGCACGTAAAAAGATGGCTGGATGTTAGTCATCTCAGCTCTAGAACATCTCTGCAAGTGTTCCTCAAGACAGTGTTCGAGGCTCAACCGTCTTCAGCTGTTTCATCAATGACCTTCCCAATTTCTGTTTTTCTTCATTTCATATCTTCATCAACTGCAGTTCATTGTTTTATTATAATAAACCTGAGTTCACTAAAATTCGCTATTTGATGTGCTATGCTATTCTTTCACTTGGTATTTCTCTACTGCAATAAGTTCTGAAAGATAAACCAGAAAAATATTCAAGGGCACTTGTGGCTCATTGGTAGTGTCCCTACACCTGGATTCAAATCCCACCTGCTCCAGAGGTGTGTAATAACATCATTGATTAGAAAAATAGGGTAATAAAGAGTAGAAAACTATTCAGCATCCAATTAAGTACCTGCTTTTCTGTGTCCCACTTTGATTTTTTTTATCAGGGTATGGCCAGTCAACTCAGTGGAAGACAGACTAGTCTGGACTGGCCTGAACTGGGTCCAGGTCCTCCTCTCTCCCATTAAAAGCAAAGTGTTGTAATGCTGAAGATACGAAATAAAAACAGAACGTACTGGAGAAACTCAACAGGTCTGGCAGCATTTGTGGAGAGAGAAACAGATTTAATGTTTTGAGTCAAATATGACTTATCCAGACTCACCTCTCCTGTTTTTTACGTGCTGCAGTCTGTCTCCGGGTATTCTTCTCTCCTTTTCTTGTTCGGTCGCCCTCTTTCCTAGCTTTTTATCATGTCAACCTAATAATATCCAATGACATTTCCCTGAATGGCAACTGTTTCATTTATCTTTGATTTTGAATGCATTTTTACAACTTCATACATAAAAATATTGCATGGTTTTAAAATCTTTTAGCATGCTGTTGAATCCAATAACAGTTTGTTTATAAGAACTGCTACCTCAGTAAAAGTTTCTGTATTCTAGATCTACTGTTTTCTGTACTGTTCCTCATTTTGATTTGTTCATATAAAGGTGCCTCTGTCGCTCTCTGACAATTCAACAAAGGATTATCACCTAAAATATAAACTGCCTACTCTCTTTCGGATGTTATGCTGTGTATTTATGCATTTCCATTTTAATTTTCTCTGATTAGTAATTTAAATCCCACAGAAATGGAAGCCAGTGAACCCCTAAATGATGTTAATTTTCTCCTTGATATTTTCATGTTAATGAAAGATTCCTGTCTTTTGACCCAAACCCCATATTAGAACTTAGAACATAAAGCTGTACAGCACAGGAATGGGCTCTTTGGCCCACAATGTTGTGCTGAACATGATGCCAAATGAAACTAATCCCTTCTGCCTGCCCTTGGTCCATATCCCTCAGTTCCTTGCATATTCATGTGCTTATTGAAAAATCCCTAAAATGCCCTTATAGTATCTGCCTCCACTGGCAGTGTGTTCCAGACTCCTGTCACTTTCTGTGTAGAAAACATACCCCTCACATCTCCTTTGAACTTTCCCCCCTCTCACCTTAAATGCATACCCCCTCGTATTAGACATTTCAACTCTGGGGAAAAGATTCCAAATGTCAACTCTACCTATGCATCTCATAATTTTATAGACTTCTATTAAGTGTCTCCACCGCCCCCACGCTCAAGAAAAAAACAACTTGAGTTTTTCTAGTCCCTCCTTATAGCTCATACCCCCTAATCCAGGCAGCATCTTGGTAAATCTCTTCTGCACCCACTCCAAAACCGCCACATCCTTCCTATCATTTGGCGACCAGAATTGAACACAATACTCTTGAGTGTGGCCTAACTGAAGTCTAATAAAGCTGCAACATGACATCCTGACTTTTGTGCGCAATTCCCCAAACAATAAAGGCAAGCATGCCATACACCTGCTTTATCACCCTATCTACTTGCATGGCCATTTTCAGGGAGCTATGACTTGAACCCCAAGTTCCTTCTGTACATCAATGCCATTCAGAATCCTGCCTTTAACTGAATACATTTCCTTAACATTTGATCTCCCAAAACGCAGCACGTCACACTTACCTGGATTAAACTCAATCTACCATTTCCCCACCCATGTCTGCAACTGATCTATGTCCCACTGTATCCTTTGACAACTTTCTAAACTGTCTACAACTCCACCGATTTTTGTATTGTCTGCAAACTTACTAACTCATCCATGTACATTTTCATCCAAGTCATTTATATATACCACAAACAGCAGAGATCCCAGTACGGATCCCTGCGGAACACAACTAATTATGGACCTCCAGCTTGAAAAACACCCTTCCTCAACTACCCTCCGTCCTCTATTGGCAAGCCAATTCTGAGTGCATGCAGCCAAGTCACTGTGGATCCCATGCATCTTAATCTTCTGGATAAGCCTGCCACTTTTCGAAAGCCGTACAAAATCCATGTAGACAATATCCACTGCTCTACTCTCATCAATCATCTTCGTCACCTCCTCAAAAAATTCAGTCAAGTTAATAAGACATGACCTGCCCTGCACAAAGCCATGGTGACTGTCCCTAATTAGGACATGGTTTTCCAAATGTGCATAAATCGTATCCCTAAGAATTGTCTTCAAAGCTTTCCAATCACCGAAGTGAGACTCTCTGGTCTGTAGTTTCATAGATTATCCCTATTTCCCTTATTGAACAGAGGAACATTAGCTACTCGCCAGTCCCCTGGGACATCTCCCGTGGCAAGTGAGGATGCAAAGATCTTAGTCAAGGCCCCAGAAATCTCCTTTCTTGCCTCTATCAATAACCTGGGATAGATACCGTGAGGCCCTGAGGACTTATCCACCTTAATGCTCTTTAAGAGATCCAAAACCACTTCTTTTTTGATCCAAAAATGCCCTAGCATATTAACATGTGACACACAAATCTCACTATCCTCCATATCATTTATCCTCCTGTCTTCTTGAGTGGTCCTACCTTCTCCCTCTTGTTTTTAATGTATCTATAGAATGCCTTCAGATTCTCTTTAATTCTATTTGCCAAGGTCATTTCATGCCTCTTCTTACTCTCCTAATTCCCTGCTTGAGTACTTTCATGCTTTCCTAATATTCCTCACAGGTCCTGTTGATTTCAGCTTCCTAAATGTTACATATGCTTCTTTTTAACATTGTTCTTCTCTAATATTGAAGAGACAGGGGTATGGCACTGGTGCGTCTGCATAGGCGAGGTCCAGTGATGATTGATGATTCAGAGAGGCGAGGGAGTCGGTTGAAGTGAATTGATGCTAAAAGTTGGCGACTTTCATTCCAGTGGCGCGGCCAAGGGCTTCTTTCCTGGCCACCAGGCCCATAGCTCATGATGGAGCACTTAACAAAAAAAAACTGTAAAGTAGAACACTTTTTCTCCATTTCTTTATTTTTCTGCCTTTATATTCCATGTTTTTGTTTATTTTTCTGTGTTTTACGATAGCGCCAGAGAGTGGCTACACTCTGCAACACTTTTCACTGTATTTTGTAACAAAATACATGCGACAATAAATAAATGAAATCAAAATCTGCTTGCACTTTTCTGCTTATAATGCTTTGCCACTGCCATTCAGGAGGAATATAAGGAGCACTAAGTGCATCTTTATCTTCAAAAAGAACTGATAAGTCTGAGGAGATGGCAAGAATTGCAGATGCTGAAGTTAGAGATAACACAGTGTGGAGCTGGAGGAACACAACAGGCCAGGCAACATCAGAGAAGCAGGAAAGTTGAGGGTTCCAACCCAAAACATCAACTGTCCTGCTCCTCTGATGCTGCCTGGCCTGCTGTGTTCCTTTAGCTCCACACTGTGTTATCTCTGAGGAATCTAGATTTGGTCACTGGTGCATGGAGAATCATGTTTACAAAACGATGCCATATATCACCAGAGGAGTGTTTAACTTCGTGGTGATCTTGTGAAGATATTTTGACTTGTTGTGTTATAAGTACTGATTTAATTCCCATCATTAATGAATTATACACACACCCAATTAATAAGCTAATCCATTTATTTTTATTTAACAGTATATGGGAACATGGTATGAAATTGAACGACTTTACAATGTCACTGGAGAACGCAGATGTATTTCTGAAACAATATCTAAAGCTTTCAATGGGTTTAGAGAGACATACGAGCTTCTCACTTGGATGATTAAGTAAGTTCTACTGTAAATGAAGTGAGTGTGTATATGTCTGTATGCAGGTTTTTGTGCATTCTGTCTGTGTACAAAATGATTGCCATGACCTCCTCATTAATATTTACCTATCATTATATGCCGAATAAAGGGACAGCAAAAACTATTTTGGGAGCTGGAGTATAGTGCATTACTGTGGATTTCCAAAGGACAGTGTGACACAGCAAACTGATCACCATGAGCTCCTGCATTGATTAGAGCAATGAAAATTTGGAACAGTGTTAAATGTAGGAATGGCTTATAGGAGCAAAAATTGAACAATTTTGAATTGATTGAACTGCAGAAAACTGAGAAAGGAGAACATCATTTGTTTCTCCCAGTTGAGGGCTTAATTGCACTCTGAAAGGTTTTCTTCCAGATTGCTAAAGGGAAAGATTAAGAAGATGTAGGAATATCTGTGACAACAAACTGGGACCGTACAGCACTGCTGCTGCTGCTGCAGTTTCTGCTGCAACAGCCTGATCCTCCTGTTACAGGTGTGGATAAATTGGCATTTTTTAACTGGCCTGTACTTCACTGTGGCTACCATGAGAGCAGCTTTCAGTGGAACATCACTAGATAGTGATCCCAGTAAATGATGATCCCACCAAATAATCCCTGATACCCATTTGACCAGTGGTGCTAATTGCTTTCATTCAATGTAAAAATCAGCACCACAAAGTTGGCCCAATGGACCAAAGGGCCAACAAGTTAATTAAATATTTTCATGTATCCAATGATGATAAGCTCAGGAACAGAAATTACTTTAATTGCATTATGTTACAACAAAGAAGGAAGTTGCCCAGCCAAATCAATCTGTGAGGGAGTTAACTCTCCACACTTGCAGCCATGTTAATTCCCATTTATTTTCATTTCTTTCAGCCATTTATCTAAACTGTTGTTGAAAGATGACATGGGTCTAGATTCTCTGCAGTTCCCACCCATAAGTCAGTCTGATTGACGGGCAGGACATCTTTCAGTAAAGGGTGTGAAAGATGTCATAGGGGTCTTGATTGTGGAGAGAATAATGTTATGATTGATCCAATAGTAGTATGGGAGTACCAACGAAGGCACTCTGGTGGATGCAGGTCCAGGGGAGCAGATGATGTTTGAGGGCTTCTGGAAGTGATATGGAAGACAGACAGATTATGGGGCACTCCAGCTTGGCTGCAAGCAATATTGCCAAAGCGCCTGCCGTATGAGCTGAGCAAGCCTTGCTTCTTTTAAGTTTCAGGTTTACTTGTGGCCGTGGAAACCCAGCTGCCTGTGGTTAAAAAGAACATGAGTGTAAATGGAGGCTGCAGCCTCATTAAAAGACTTAAGTGACTAGAATGTTAACATTTGCAAATCAAGAATGCTACCAATCTGCGAATGCTTCAAATGTAGCATGATGTTGCAAAGCTGATGTTAAAATGCAAATAGAATTAGGCATGGGCCAAAGGAAAATATTTTTAGAATAAATGAGTTTGCTGCATGCAGTTGACTGGAATGTTACACTACCCGTAGCACAAGCTGTTTGGCAGAGGAAGTTGGGCGAGTGTGGGCAGACTACACTTTCACTAACACTGGTAAATGATGAGGGATAACAGTTTAGGGGATACCCTGTGCTCATCACGGGCATCATCCCAAAATGAAAACACAATCTTCCATCCCCATTCCCCTCCTTTTCCTCCCTAGCGTATGCCCACCAATTAAGTTTTTGCAAATGGGTTTTGCCCCTTCCACCAATGGGCAACTGTCTGGCATTAAGCTTGTTTGTGACCAGGGGTGCTGGTGTAGTGTTATTGAGTCGTAAACCATCTCCTCCCCGCAATATTTCATATTTCTTTTCTACTCTAACCTCTGAAATGACTCCAGCTCATTTGTTTTTGAGAATTCAGCTGATGGTTTCCACAACTTAGATACGAATATAGGACATAGGAGCAAGAGTAGGCCATCTGCACCTTCAGTCTTGCTTCATTATTCAATAAGATCATGACTCATCTCATTGTAGTTTCAGCTCCACTTTCCTGTTTGCACGCTGTAGTCTTTGACTCCCCAGATATTCAAAAATCTTCTTATCAAATCAAAATTGACTGTTCAAAGGTGACATTCCTGATTCGGTTAAATGTCATTGGAGCTGCCATTGGAGACTCCTTCTTTGGCTGTCACAATCCAAATTATGGAGAGGGAGGGGTTTCCCCGCAGACTTCCCTCATGTCCACCTTGGATCTTCGGACTGCCATGTGGAAGATCACAGAATACACTGGAAAATAATGTAAATGCCCTGGACTCCTTGAAAGGAGGAAAAGAGGTTTTTCATTGGCCAGCTCTGCTTCTCTGTCAGGCCTCGACCTTGCAGCTGAAGATCTCGGACTCTATTGAGACCTGTAGTGGAATAATCTGTTCTGATCTTCAGGGGACACTACTTTTCTACCATTTCTGGTTTGTTGTGATACCTTCACTGCAGCACTGCTCACATTTCCTCAGATGGGGTGGTTTCCCTCGTATGAAATGAACCCAGGAAAATAAGCTGGAGTCACTTGTCACAGAAGTTACAAATGGAATCAGACCTTTCAGCCTAACCTGGTCACCTTGATGCTCACCCTCCATGTGAGCAAATGGTTCTAATCATGTTTACCCACTGACTTAACTGTTTTAGTTTATTTGTCAAATGTAATCCTGAGTATTCACTTAACTTTAAACCTGGAAGTGATTCCACAGCCATACAATAAAGTGTGTTAAAGTTTCAGCTTTCTTCGTTTGACATTTGATGGTTTCCCTTGGAATCTTGCTCATTGCTCATGACCATCAACACTAGAAATGGTCTGTCTCCATTTACTCTGTCCCAACCCCTCCATCTTCAAAACATGCCTTGCATATTTTCCTGTGAACTGCATTGTTCTGAAGAAGGCCCAGTGTATCAAACCTTTCTTTATTTCTGTATTGCCTTATATCAGGCATCATCACAGGTAACCGTATCAAAGAGGACTGATGTTCTTCCTACCATTAAACCCAACAATATATCATGGTTTGTGGGAATAATTTTTTTAATTTAAACTTATCATGACTCCTTGGCTTTTATAATAAAGGCATCATGAGATGTCTGTTTGCTATAAAGTCAACATAATCTTACCAGCCCATTAGAGACAGAAAATTGGCTCAGAGTTTAACCTGATGTTCGTCATGCGTCAGGTAGGAGCAAGGTTACCAAGTCAAGACCATCACAATGACCTCAGCTAGCACAGCAATTGAACCTACCCTGTTGGCATCACTCTGTATTGCAAACAATCTGTCCAGCTAACCGACATGTTTAATAATCGACGTTGCTCCCTTTGGTGTTGTGTGAACCTGCATTTTGCAGTCCAATTCCTCTTCTGCAGCATTCGGTTACTTCCGTTCAGTTATGCATTACTTAATTTCCTAATATGTATTGCCTCAAACCCAGAATCATTGAATTTTTTTTTGCCACATTTTAGTCCATTAACTTTTTATGTCTTGTTTTCAAAACAAGTCTTCATTTAAATTGTGCATACATGATCTAGAACTGAACCCTCAGGAATAACAGTATTAACATTAAATATTGTTGAAATACTGGGTAGACATGAGGAGCTGAAAGACCTGCTACTGCTGCTATTTCATATGTTCTTTTCTTGAATAATCATCCCTATTTGATTTCCTGACCACTAGCAACTTTTAACAATTGATTCTTTATATGGACATGTGGTAATTTCACCCATGCTTAAATATTCTAAAGGGTTTTTTTTGCTCCCACAGATTTTAAACTAAGTGGCTTGTAATTCTCTCGATTGCTTAATGGTACTGTGCACAAACCTCTCAATTTTCTACAAACTTGTCTAATTTAATACAAGTGCTCTGGTGTTTGCGCTTGCATTTTCTCTTTCTCCTTGTATCTTAATTAAACTGTGCTCTCTTCTCACATTTTGCTTGCTCTATTTAACTCATCCATCTGAATTCTTTCATAGTTTATTATTGGACTTAGCAATGTCTTCACCCAAATAGCAAATATCCTCTGTTGTGATCACTAAGTGGATATTTAAAAAGTTCCATAAAAGAATTATTTTGCTACTTGTCTCTCAAACCTGGCATCAAATTTCCTCCCCATAATATGGAGAAACCCCTTTTAATCCTTAGCCTCCAACCATGTTGAATCAGTATCCCGTCCTTGTTTACATCAAGCCTTTCTGATGTATGTTGTGGTTGTTATGAAGGGACATATTGGAGATCCATCCCACTGGAAATCTGCCTCGAAGAGGTGAGTCTGTCCTATCAATACCATTTCTTTACCTCGGATGAATTCATGACTAAGTGGAAGTACACTATTCGTCTTTATATATACAAAGCTTGTTTGTTTTTTGCAGAGACAATGATGCAGTGGTTGTACTCAGTGCAGAATTAATTCCACCTCCAAAGGCAAATAAAGATCAAGCAAAACTTACCTACAGACTCGGTAACTTTTTTTTATTATTTACCTTTCAAGGGTTTTGTTCAGCATTTATTGCCCACCTCTATTTGGTCTAATAAATGTGGTAGTAAACTACCTTCTTCAATGAGTTATGGGGTGTAGATAGATCCACTGTAGATAGACCCACTGTCCTGTGAGGAGAGGAGTTCTAGGGTTTTGACATAGTGGCAGTGAGGGAATTTTGATATTGTTCCAAGGTGGGATGGTGTGTGTCCTGAAGCTGAAATTGCAATAACAGTACTCCCATGTATCTGCTGCCCTTGTCCTTCTAATTGGTAGACGTTAAGGGCTTTGGAGGGCTTTTAATTAATTAGAGGGGGAAGGGTTCAGGAGAGAAGATATGTTGGCTTACAAAACAAAAGGATATGACAGCATTGCAGGCAACTATTTTTATACTCAGAGTGGCACAGGAATGGGCAGAACATACAAGTAAATAAGATCAAAGGGGGAAATTGGTTAAAAAAAATCAAAATTAATGGCTGTTTGCTTAAATGTAGACAGTATTGATAAGAAAATAAATGAATTAACAGCACAATAATGATGAGTATGACTTTAAGGCAGTTATGAAGACATGATTAGAAGGAGGAAGCTTTGTTAGTACAAGCTGAAATAAGTATGAAAGCAAGAAATGGCCTTGCATTGGATGATGTAGAATCCATATGGGTGGTGGTAGAATATAACAAGAGGAAGATGGTATTGGTGGGAATAAATTAAAGGCCACTTAATAGTGACTGGTAGAACATAGAACAATACAGCACAGGAACAGGCCCTTTGGCCCACCATGTCTGTGCTGACTATGACGGCATTCTAAATTAATCCCATCTGCCTGCATATGGTCCACATCCCATTATTCCCTGCCTTTTCATGTGTCTGTCCAAATGCCTCTTAAATGTTGCTATCATCAATATAGGCAGCAAAAAAAATAAGAATATGAGGGCATGTGAGGAAGGTAGTACATTGATCCTGGGTGACTTTAATCTTCATGTATATTTGGAAAATCTAATTGGCGAAGGTAGCCACAAGGAATAATTAATAGACTGTTTTTGGAACAGTTTCCCAAAACATTATGATGTGTATCCAACCAGGAATCATGGATCCCAGATTAAAAGATTGACTAGGGAACAGTAACCACAACATGGTAGAATTTAGCGTTCTGTTTGAGAGTGAGAAACCAGGGTCAGAACCAACAGTGCTAAATTTAAATAAAGATAATTACATAGGGATGAGGGCAGAGTTGTTTGGAGTGGACTGGCAAAATAGTTCAGCAGATAAGATGGTTGAGGAACACTGGCAGATATTTAAGAAAAACATTCAGATTCATCATAAAGATATTTCCTAGTCAGGAAGAAGGATGATAGTAAATGTTTAAACCAACTATGCTGAACAAGGAAGTTAAGGATAGTAGTAAATTGGAAGTAAAAATGTGCAATATTGCAAAGATTAATGACAAACCATAGGAATTAGCAAGTTTTAAAAGCCAAGTAAGATAACTACAAACAAAAAAGGAAGAGAAAATAAACAATGAGAGCAAACTAGCAAGTAATGTAAAAATGGCCAGTAAAAGATGATTTTTATATATGAAAAAGAAGAGACGACAACATGAACACAAGTCCCTCAGAGAATAAGGCTGAGAAATAACAAAGGGATCCAGGGAGTGGCAGAAGAAATATTTTCCATCAGTCTTCGCAATAGAATGCAGTACAGTCAGTTCTGATATAACATCTGTTTCTTCAACGCGAGTGACTTTAATGCGATTGAAGAATTTAGACCAATATTTGTAGAATGTGAACTTTTCTTGCCTGTATTGGCTATAACGTGATTCCGGCTCCAATAGTTTAAATGGCGTGGCTATTGATGATTTTCTTATCATGCGAGATCGCACGAGAACAGAACTATCGCATTATATCCAAACTGACTAACATTCCAAAAATACTAACTACTAAAAAAAAGTCAATCATGAGGAAAATGTACTAAGGGATTAAATTAACACGGAGGATTCTTAAAGGGGAAGCAGTAGTTCTAATATATTTGGATTTCTGTAAAGGCATTTAATATGGTCCTGCATTTAAGACTGGTTCAGTCTTACTATCATCCTTCTTCCTGACTAGGAAATATCTTTATGATGAATCTGAATGTTTTTCTTAAATATCTGCCAGTGTTCCTCAACCATCTTATCTGCTGAACTATTTTGCCAGTCCACTCCAAACAACTCTGCCCTCATCCCTATGTAATTATCTTTATTTAAATTTAGCACTGTTGGTTCTGACCCTGGTTTCTCACTGTCAAACAGAATGCTAAATTCTACCATGTTGTGGTTACTGTTCCCTAGTTCATAATATAAGAGCCTTGAGGGTAGAATATTATCATGGATAGAGGATTAACTAGCTCAGAGAAGTCAGAGTGTTGGGATAAAGGGGTCATTTTCAGGATGACAACTGCAATGAGTGGAGCGCTACAGGATTGGTGCCACAATTATTAACAATATGTACTGATGACTTGGATGATAAACCTATATGTGCTGTTGCCAAATTTGCAGGTGACAAATAAATATTTGCACTATAAGTAGTGAGGATGACACAAGGAGAATATAGAGTGGTATAGATTGCTAAAGTGAGTGGACAGAAACTTGACAGGCGGAAAATAAATTCTGAAAGTATGACATTATGCACTTTGGCAGGAAGAAGACAAAAGCTGAATATTATTTAAATGGGGAAAGGCTGTAGAGAGTAATAGCAGAGAAAGATTTCAGAGTCCTCATGCATGTATCTCAAAGCTAGGATCCAATTTCAACAGTAATAGGAAAAGCAAATGGTATATTGGTCTTTATTTCAAAGGGAATAGAGAATACAAATATGGAGGTCTTGCTAAAACTATACAAGGCAAGACTCACCCTGTGCTAATTGGCACAGGGTCGAAAAGATTAAAAAGGTAAATGCATGGATCAAAGATTGATGTGAGAGAAATAGGTTCAAATTCATTGAACATTGGCATCTGTACTGGGGTAAGAGGGAGCTGTTCCAAGGGGATGGGCTCAACCTGAATCATGCTGGGGCCAGAGTCCCGGTGAAGCACAAAATTCAGGCTTTAAACTAAATAGTTGGAGGGAGTGGGTGTGGTTCATTTGCTTCATATTTCAGACTTACTCATTGAGTTTAGATACTATCAGCTACAATGTTAGAATTTGAACTTTTCTCCACAGAGAAAGGATCTACACCATTGACATTACCATAAACACCACCTCCTAAACCTTTGCAGAATATTGCAGCTTTCTACTTTCAGTAAATAGGATCATTGACTGCAGAAACAATTCATTTGCACAGAGGGTTTCATTCCCTAGAGGCTACAGTTTTTTTAGAAAGCATTTTTACGTTTAAAAAGCATTTGGCAAGATAGCACATAGAAGGCTGGTTAGTAAAATTGAGGCTCATGAAATTAAAGGGTTAGTATCCAGCTGGATAAAAAAAATTGGCTTCGACACTTAAGCAGCAAGTTGTGACGAATGGTCATTTTTCAGACTGGAAGAACAGATAGCGGAGTTTCATGTGACCCAGTGTTAGTACCACCACTCTTTCTTTGTTGTGAAAAAATGACTTGGATCTTGCAACGGAGGGAAATTTCAAAATTTGCCAATATTATGAAATTTGAAGGTGTGTCAAAAAGTGCTTGTAACAGAATATAGATAAGGCTAACAGAATGGCTGGAAAAGTTGCAGATGGAATTCAGTACAGAGAAGTGTGAGGTGATGTATTTTGGCAAAGGGAGTAGGGAGAGGTAATACAGAGTTAATGGCACAGTTCTAAAGAGTTTACAGGAGCAGTTGTGCTATGGGTTCCAATGTACTGAACTTTGAAAATGTCAGGACATATTCAGGGAATGGATAACAAAGCTTACAATTGAGAGAGGATATGAGTACAGAAGAGATTTACTCCCAATAGTTCCAGACATAAAGGAATTTTCTTACAAGGTTAGGTTGGAAAATCTGGTATTGTTCTCTTTGGACAAAGGAAATTGTGGGAAGATTTATTAGAAATGTACAAGCCTATGACAGACCAAAATAAGGTAGTCAATGACAAACTGTTTCTAAGGAGTACCAGGTGACACAGATTGACATCTGATCAAGAGATGCGAGGAAATATAAGAAAGAACGTTTGTATGCAATGAATTGTACAGGCCTGGAATTCACTACCTGTGAAGATGGTGGAATGGCAACAATCAATGATTTCAAGAAGGAAATTGAATTGGTATTCGATGGAACTAAACTTGTAGAGTTACAGGAATTGAACCAAGACCCAGGATTGCCTGGTTTGCTTAGGAACAATTAGCATGGACTCGAGGTTCTAAATAGCCTCTTCCTGTGTTACTAGTGACTTTATGACTCTATAAACTTTTCTTCCTATAATTCACCTTGGGGTCACTTTACTCTGTTAAAGGCAATGGATAAATATAGCTTGTTGTTGGTTGTTTATTGTGAGAGATTTTAATTTCAGCAGTAAAGTGCAAACTTCCATTTTGTTCTTCTTTGAAAATCAATACCCAGTTTGTGGCTTGTGATTAATTTTTATTTTCTTGACTCAACAGATCAACAAATGGGGCATGAGCCTTTAGATGGTATGTATTAAAAAGTACAACTCCTCGATAAATAAGCATGTTACACAGTAATAAACAAAATCCGATCATATTCGGGAATGGTCAGAAATCACACAACACCAGGTTATAGTCCAACAGGTTTACTTGAAAACACTAGCTTTTGGAGCCTCGCTCCTTCTTCAGGTGTTTGTGAGAGGGGTAGTACCAGACGCAGAATTTATAATTAAAAGACCAAAGGTTCACACCATTGATGAGGATGTACTAAACAAACCTAAGATGCTGTTAAATCTTTAATCAGTTGGAAGGTTTTAATTGATTAACATGTACATGTAAGTCCCTGAATTCTTTTCAAGTCACGGTCCTGAGAGAACTAAAGGTTTTATCAATGTAAAGAATAGGTGACATTTTAGGTCAGGCAATGCATGTTAGGCGTGATACCTTGTTTAGAATCAGTTTGTGTTTTAGTCTGGAGTCAGACTGGTTTTATTTCTAAAGTAGGAATTTGTAAAACATCATATTGACTGACTGTCTATAAATACACATACACTCTCCACCCACACCCCGCCCCACACACACACATACACGTGAATCTATGGGGTGAATTTTTATTTGCAGATATATTATATTTTGTTCAAGTAGTACAATGTTCAGTGTTTTGACTACTGATTACATTTTACTAGTAACTCCTGTTGATAGTTTCTCATTACATTGGCTGTGATTAAAAATTTTGTTAACTTTTGAGTTTGTCATCATGATTTGTTGGGGCTGAAGCTAGTAAATGTTTTCCACAAAAAATTTCCAATCATACAAACTGATATTGGACCTTTACTGATAAAGTAAATATCCTGAAAAATCTCTGCTGCTAGTTAATAACCAACATGAAATATGTTCTGTGCCATTCCCAGCAACGGAACATTACTTGTGTAACAACAGCCATTAAGGATTAATACAGGTATAGTGTGCAGGATCACTGACATCATGAGATGAAGCAGTGCATAAAACCAGAGGCATGGGGGAGGATTTTTTCACGCTTTAATGTGTGGATAAAGGTTCATGAGAGTCTTGAATAGTCATGTAGCCATACAGATTTAGAATATTGCTGAAAAAAGACACATTTGTCGAAACCTTTTATCACGCACTCATCAGGACATTCACAAGAATATCGTTATGAAGGGGAACAACATTGTATGTTGTGTGAAAAGAGAGCATTGGTGCATTTTAATGGCAATGTCTACTTGTCAACCAATCAGCACTGTCTTCTCAAACAGAAAACAATGTTATTCCCATTCGCATTGGTGTTGTTGTGAATATCTGGTAAGTGTACAGCAACACTCAGACTCTTGAATCTTAAAAACCTCCAAGGACTGTGAACTCCAGTATTGACTTATTTTGCCTCTGATTGATTTGTGACATTGGATTGAGATTTTATTGTGAAGGTATTGGTGTAGGTCTGTGCTGAATGGATGTTGCAAATAATAAGCATGAACAGAGATAGTTTTTCAACTTTGTGGCCCTGAGTCTTTGATTAGAATGCTACGGCAATACAACTTCCCACTGGGAGGGTAGAATAAACTCTCTTGACTGTGTTAGGTGGTATGTTCTTGCCAGTTGAACATGCTTTACTTGCTGGTTTTGAACTAATTTCAGTATCAACAGTGAAATTCAGGTGGTCTTTCAAATGTTCTTCATCCAGGCAAACTAGCTATTTGCATATACTGTAGTAAGAATTAAGTTTAGAACACTGGCAAACTAGCTAATTATTCTTTGGTGCCATGTTTGTTTTTAATTTACTCACTAATTGAGATCCTGTCTATCAAACTGTGTTTTTTTGTAATGGTATCTATATTGATAGTGTAGTTGATGTGGTTTAGATAAGGCCTTTGACAAGGTCCCACATTGAAGGCTAGTCCAAAAGGTGAGAACCCATTGGATCTGAGGCAATATGTCAAACTGGCTCCAAAATTGGCTTACAAATAGGAGGTGTAGGATGATGGTGGAAGGTTGCTTTTGTGACTGGAAGCATGTGACCAGTGGTGGTACCACAGGGATTGCTGCTGGGACCCTCACTGTTGGTTATTTACATTAGCAACCTTGCTGTGCATGTAGAAAGTATGATTGGTAAGTTTGCAGATGACACAAATTTGTGTTGTTGATTGTGAGGAGGATGGTCTCAGGCTACAGTCTGATATTGATCCCTTGGTAATTGGCAGAGCAATCAGATGAATTTTAATTCTGATAAGTGTGAGGTGATGCATTTTGGGAAGTCTAACAAGGAAATTATATGCACAATGACTGGTAGGTCCTTCAGCAGTACTGAAGAACAAAGGGCCCTTGATGTACAAGTCATAGACCGCTGAAGGTGCCAGCAAGAGTGACAGAGTGTTGACAAAGGTATATGGGTTGATTGACTTCATTAGTAGGGGTGTATAACATAGGAGCAATGAATACTTGTTCCAACTTCATAAAACATTGGGTAGACCACAGATAGAATACTGTGTACAGTTCTGTCGCTATGCTATTGGCAGGATATGATTCCACTGGAGAGAATGCAGAGGAGATTCACCAGGATGCTGCCTGAAATGGAAAATCTCAGTTATGAGATTGGATAGGCTGGATCTTTTTCCTTGGAGCAGAAGAGGCCGAGGGGCTGATTTGATTGAAGTATACAAAATTATGAGAGGTAAAGACAAAGTAGATCATGAGAATCTTTTTGCCATGACAGATGTGTCTAAGACGAGAGAACATATGTTTAAGGTGAGGACCAGGTGATTTAGAGCAGATCTGAAGATCTCCTGGGATATCGTTCACCCTAAGTTCTGTCAGATCAAAGGTGTCGTGCCAGCTTACCAGGGGCAATGTGACAGTGCTATGATCTGTGCCAGCAGTCTAACAGCACTGAGATAGTCCACAATCAGCTAGTGGAGATATTTCTCATATGTCACTGTTGGAAATGCTGTGTTCTAGTTTGTCTGAATTTCGTTTCCAAATACTGCGCTTAATTTGATTAACTAGTGAACCAAAAAAAATTATCTGTTTGTTTCATCATAGATTAATGCTCTATCCTCTTTTTCTTTTATTGCAGACAGTGTCATTTTTCATTACTGGGTGGTAGACACTGACTATACAAGTTACTCGCTGGTATTCTCCTGTGTTTCTTTCCTTGGCATAGCACACACCCCTTATGCCTGGATTCTTTCAAGAGAACGACAGCTGTCAGCAAATACCACAAAATACCTGCATGATATCCTGGATAAATATAACATTAATATTGAAGATCTTGTGAAAATTAATCAAGAAGGTTGCATATAAGAGCTAAATAAAAACCAAAAGAACTGCAGATGCTGTAAATCAGGAACAAAAACAAAATTGCTGGAAAAGCTCAGCAGGTTTGGCAGCATCTGTGAAGGGAAAACCAGAGTTCACGTTTCGGGTCCAGTGACCCTTCCTCAGAACTTAGTTCGGGTCACCGGACCTGAAATGTTAACTCTGTTTTTCCCTTCATTGATGCTGTCAGATCTGCTGAGCTTTTCCAGCAACTTTGTTTTTGTTGCATATAAGAGCTGATCAGAATACATACAAAACATTTTAATTTGCATCAAAATGCACCTATTTTTAGTTTACTCCATTGTAAGTTACACTGGGGTTAGTATAACTGAAATTAAACAATGTCTGCTGGAGTTGCTGTGATGGACTGTGAATTAAGTTATCTACATCAAAAGTGCAGGAGTTTGAAGAAACACCTCCAATTGTCAATATCTACCCCCACTGAAATTCAAATCAATGGTGAAATCTTGACTGAGCCATCACTAGACAATCAAAAATGCAACTTAAAATTAAGACAATTGGTATCACACTTCATACTACAAACATTTGGCTTAAATAGAGAGACTGACTAATTAGTGCTAATGAACATGAAAGAGGTCACCCCTTGGTGTCCAGTTTTGTACTCATTGGCCAGATTTTTCTGCTTGTGAAATTTCAATCCATATTTCCTACTCCCAATCATTTTATTAATCAGAAAAATCACTGACTGGCAATAAATAAGAAAAAATACATGATTTCTAGCTCAATGCCTTTATTGTCACTCTTGGTTTGACCTCCTATTATTTCTTTGCTGATTTTATGTCATTCAATCAAATAATATGCGAAACTTAGAACTTAGATTAGTTTGGGATTGACATAGTTATTTGGCTTTGTGCACTACAATAGTATCATAAATCTGTTATACTAAGTGCTTTTTTCAGCAATAAAAATGAAAAACTGAAATAATATGTTTCTTCTGATCATTTGATGTGAAATTCTCACCAAAACCCATAGAGCATTATTATATATGGATTATAAGTCTCATGACATGTCTCATGCAGCCTCCTAACTCCCTAAAAACCTGTCCACCATTGATAAGTCACAAGTCAGGAGTGTGATGGAATACTCCTCACTTGCCTGGATGAGTGCAGCTCCAAAAACACTGAAGAAACTTGACTTCATCCAGGACAAAGCAGCCTGCTTGATTGGCACCACATCCACAAGCATTCACTCCCTCTACCACCAACACTCAGTTGTAGCAGTGTGTCCAATTTACAAGATGCATTGCAGAAATTCACCAAAGATCCTCAGACAGCATCTTCCAAAACTCACGACCACTTCCATCTAGAAGGACAAGGGTAGCAGATATGTGGAAATACCACCATCTGCAAATTCCAGCCCAAGCCACTCACCATCCTGAGTTGGAAATATATTGCCATTCCTTCATTGTCGCTGGGTCAAAATCCTGGAATTCTCTCCATAAGAGCTTTATGTGTCTCCCAAAGCAGGTGGACTGCAGCAATAAAAGAAGGCAGTTCACGACCAAAAATCTTAATCGAAAAATGAGATGTGATTTCCCATGCACAAAGCTATGTTGACTATTACTAATCAGTCCTTGCCTTTCCAAATGTACATTAATCCTGTCCATCAGAATCCCGTCCAACAACTTTCCCACCACTAATGTCAGGCTCACGGCTCTACAGTTCCCGAATGTTACCTTACCAGCTTTCTTAAATAATAGCACCCCATTAGCCACTCTCCAGTCTTCCTGCACCTCACCTGTGGCTGTTGATGAGACAAATATCACAGCAGGGGGCCCTACAATTTCTTCCCTAGCTTCCCACAACATTCTGGGATACACCTGATCAGGTCCTGGGGATTTATTTACCTTTATGCATTTTAAGTCCTCCAGCACCTCCTTTTCTGTTATATGGACATGTTTCAGAACATGACCATTTATTTCCCCGAGTTCCATAGCTTCAATGTCCTTCTCCACAGTAAATACTGACCCAATATATTCATTTAGTATCTCACACACGTCCTGTGGTTCAACACATGGATGGCCTCGTTAATCTTTAAGAGTTCCTATTCTCTCTCTAGTTACTCATTTGCCCTTAATGTGTTTGTAGAACCTCTCTGAATTCCCCTTAACCCTATTTACCAAAGCTATCTCATGTCCACTTTTTGCCTGATTTCCCTCTTAAGTAAACTTCTACTACTCTATACTCCTTTAGGCATTCACTTGAATCCAGCTGTGAATACCTGACATATACATCCTCCTTTTTCCTGATCAGAGCCTCAATTTTTGTAGACATCCAGCATCCCTACACCTACCAGCCTTGCTGTTAGCACCAGCAGGAACATACTGTTTCTCAACTCGTCTCATTTTTGAAGCCCTCCCATTCTTCAACTGCGAATAGTCTCCCCCAATCAAATTTGAAAGTTCCTGCCTAATGCCATCAAAATTGGTCCTACTCCAATTTAGAATATTAACTTTTAGATGTTTTCCATGACTGTTTTAAAATTAGTAGAATTATGATCCCTTGCCCCAAAGTGCTCCCCCACTGACATTTCAATAACTTGCCCTGCCTTATTTCCCAACAGGAGGTGAAGTCTTGTTCCTTCTCTAGTATGGATATCCATGTATGGAACAAGAAGTTTTTCTTGTACATTCATAACAACTTTCTCTCCGTCCAAGCCCTTAACACTTATGGCAGTCCCAATCTACGTTTGAAAAATTAAAATCCTTTACCATTACAATCATATAGTTCTTACAGATATCTGAGATCTCCTTCCATATTGGCTTCCTAATTTCCTGCTAACTAATCTCATTAAGGTGGTCATCCCTTTCTTATTTCTCAGTTCCACCCATATAACTTCACTGGATGTTCTCCCAGGAATATCCTCCTGAAGTACAACTGTAATGTTATCCATAACCAAAAACCTCACTCCCCCTCCTCTCTTGTAATCCTGCCCCGCTCCCCTCAACCCCTATCCTTCCTATAGCATCCAATCCTGGAACGTTAAGCTTCCAGTCCTGCACCTCCCTGAGACACGTTTCTATAGTAGCTATGATTTCTCAGTCCCATGATCCCAACCATGCCCTAAATTCATCTCCCTGTCAGGCCTCCTGCATTGAAATAAATGCTCTATCAGACATACCTTGAAGTAATGTTTCAAAGAATTCTATGTATTGTTCTGCCAGTCATAGACTGAAAGACAGTATATGTATTATGGACGGAGATCTTGTGTCAATGACTTTTGCCATATTACTGGCTAATTATGGTCCACCTAAACACCTTAATTGGGTGAAACATTACAAAAATCGACCCTCACTTCATTTTATTAACAATGACCAATTTGTGTTCTTTTATCAAAATTCATGAAGTAATTATAATTCTGTGGGCCTCCCAGAATAAAGATTTTAAAACACAGGTCTCTGTTAATGAAAATTTAGGGGTGTAGTGGGCACACAGCAAATTAAAACAGTAACAAATGAGTTAATGTCGAAGACTCTCCACACGATGAATCAATAATCTTGGCCACGATGTTGTGAGCTGATATATAGTAGGAAGAGTTATACCACTGACTGAGAAGGAAAATCATTGGTCAAAACATGTAACCCATTACCACGGGAAAGTGTGAAATCTTCCAATCTGGCTAGAAGAATTTATAAAAATAGCATGGTGTGCGATTGCAACATTTTAAGGTGGGAAGGCACATGAATGTCCAAGTACACGATTCACAAGGGTTTACCAAGCAAGAAAACTAAGGAAATGTTCTTGTTTATAGTGAAGGGTGTTGAACATAAAATACGGAGGTTATGCTTTAGTTATACGGAGCATTGGTAAGATCACATCTGGAATACTGTGCTCAGTGTCAGTCTCCTTACATAACAAAGGATGTAAATGAATTGGAAGCAGCTCAGAGAAAGTTTACTAGACTAATACCTGGATTAGCTGGCTTGTCTTATTTGAAAAGGTTGGATGGACCAGACTTACGTCCGCTTTAGTTCAGTAGAGGAAGAAAGGCATTGACAGGTGGATGTGGAAATGATTTAGAAACGAGGTCATTATTTAAAAGAAATAAGAGGTTACCCTTTTAAGGATAGAGATAAGGAGACTTTTTTTTCAAGACGTTTGTAAGTCTTTGGAAATCTCCCTCAAAAGATGATAGAAGCAGTGTCTGAATTTTTTAAGGCAGATCCTTTATAAGCAGGGGGATGAAGAGTGATCAGGCTTAGGCAGGAACATGGAGTAATCAATTCAGCCATGATCTTAATTAACATTGGGCAACCAGGCTTGAGGGACTGAGTGGCCTGTTTCTCCTCGAATTTGTATGTTTATATATACAGTCCATTGATTGCTTGAGTGGTATAATTGGGAGAAGATTGATAAATTGTTAGATTATGCATGATGTGGGAAAACCAGAAGCAAAGGGGAAGTATATATAGGTTAAGAAACTAAAGGGCAATGCTCCCTCAAAGAACATTTCATGTGGAAAGTAATGTTTCTGTTGACATATTTCTGCCTCTATCCCCGGAGTATTCGCATAGTATGTAGCACCTGGAGCTATGGAGCAGAAGGTTTGTTTTGTTGACAGGGAGAGCATGAAACTTGCTCTTGCTGTTTCTAGAATATATAAAGAAATGGAAATAATCCTTTCGTTACTCAGTGTACAGTTGAATTATAATAAATGATCCATGTGCATGACTCTTTTTGGGATAAGCCCCATTGAAATATTTATGTACAGAACAAAAAAAGTGAACCGGTGGGCAATGTATTCCATACTATCCATACTATTCCCATCGTGAAAAACTACAACTGCCTGTGTGCAGTTTTGCATGTTCTCCTTGTGCTTGTGTGGGTTGCCGCTGGGTGCTCCAGTTCCAAAGATGTGCAGGTTGGCTAAATTGACCATGCTAAATTATCCCGTACTGTCCAGTGTTCTGCAGGCTAGGTGGTTAGCCATGGTAAGGGGGGGAGGGTGGTTGGTCCTTGCTGGTGTACACTTCAGAGGGTCGGTGCAGACATGAT